TGATAATAAAGCACAACAGCTTAAAATTGCGGTGGTAAACGCTGTTGGTCTTTCCTTGGCGGTTAATTAATTTGTGTATAATCATAATTCGGATTTCTTAGTGTTGCAGCTGAGGGCGTCGGTGCAAAAGTGTAACCACAGACTAAAGTGAAACAGTAAGAGAGTTTTATTATACCAGGGGCGTTAGCTGTACAGCCCCGTTGGCGTTGAAATTGATTTAAGGTTAGTTTGAATTCATGTTTGTATTTGCCCCAAGGAATAAACTGTTTGCGCGTATGGTGAGAGGGTGGGGTTGGTTGGGGGGGGGGGGGGCATGCGAATGCTCACACAGTGCTGTCTTTTCGTAACTATTGTTACATGTTTATTGGGCGCACAATAAATAAAACAGTCCTTCTATCGTTTGCCATCGCGTGCAGCTTATCCCAGATAATCCCGTCACTAAACGTGACTCTCAATAAAGATTCTCCTTGTGTGTATGATAAGTAAAGTGAAGGACCCTTTTCCACGTCTTTAAGCGTATTGGACATATAGGGCTAACCCTTTATTTTTATAGAACTATCGGCACTCGATGGGTGATGTGGGGAGCATTACGCCAGCCACCTTTACTTTCCCAGGACTGTACCTGGTACCCATTCAAGGCCGGGTCGATTTGACAGCCAGGGTCATTTTTAAAAAAAAATCCCGCTCAGTCTGGACCCGAACCCTCGACCTTCAAGCTGTGTTTATGATAGACCTATATAAACTAGAAATGATATGAAACCAAACGAAAAGTAGAACCAGTTATGAGTTTAAAAAAATTACATTTTGTGTGTGTGTATGTGTGTGTGTGTGTGTGCGTGCGTGTGCGCGTGCTCGCTCATGGTTGTTCGGATTTTGCAGCATTAATCAGATATACCTGTATCAACAGAGTCCTAAATTGTGTGCCCTTTAACAAAGCAGGTTGGCTACAATGCACCCACTGCTGACTTCTGTCACATAATGTGACCATCCCCCCACTCTCTTCCATTATATGACTCTTGTAATATTGTCCAAAGGCCGAATGAAATCATGAAATTCTTTAACGCTTTCCAAATCTCTAAGCCACATCATCATCATCGTGTTCATCCATAAACGTCTACCCGCTGTCCTTACTACCGTGAAAAACTATTTAATGGTTTCTTCCTCTGCCTACCATTCTCGATTTGTCCATTTCCACCTTTTCCAAGCCATTTCACATGATCAAAAACCGATGACTGCTAGTAGTAATTGGGATATAGGCCTAAAGTTTTCATCGTGTTCTCGTAGTGTATGTTTGTTATTTGTGTGTCATTTATTTATTTATTTAGGACAATTGTATACTGTATATTATTGTGTCCGAAGTTTCTTTTTTTTTAACACCTTGAAGATAAAGATTGTGTGGTCCTATTTTAACCCGTCTGAAATGGCCTCTTGTTTCGTTTGGATGTTTGTTTTACTAGCAAGCTAGAGACACACATTCCCTCACGGAATATCATTTTTGCGAACGCACTACGTAATTCCGAGTTGCCTGGGCTGATAATAAATGTGGACAATTTGACAGCAAACCGCTTTGCGTTGGTTTCGACAACGGTGTCGAGAGCCAATCGTTGAGAAAGCAGTGATGTCGTGGAATGATAAGCCATTACACATCAGTCCGTAAGACTGGTAACTTGACCTACCTGTAATCGGCACAAAATTCAAACTTGGACTCGTCCAGGAAGAGATATATAGTCCCTTATATCGATATAGGCCTTTATCGGACAAAATTATTATGTTTACATTTTCTAGTTGCTTTCACTTAACTCCACTTTTAAATGTACATCGATTGGATAAATATTAGAGGAGTTATTTGAGGTTTCTTAGAAACCGATTTACTCCTTGCCCATGTATACTAGGAACTCCTTTTTACCAACGCCTGAAGTGCGTAATTTGCGCCATTCTCTTTGCCGGCTTCTTAGCATTCAGATGTGTGCATTGACGCCAGAAAATTTCACTTTCATAAGGCGATCTGTAATGTCGGAGACTTTTCCTATGCTTGGGATGAATCCTTTGTGAGGAGCTGGCAGAAGATTCACAGTCCAACCAACACCCACCAACCATAACCCATCCATCAATTAACCCATTACCTACCACTTATCACCCAACTACCAAGTGTGGAGATTGATGTCCGTTTGAGGTGCCATATACCCCAAACATCCTACAGTGCCAGAACATGTGTATAGCTCATGGACAGTGATGCTAATGTCTAGTGGGAGCTATTTGCTGTGTGCTGTGTCCTTTATGGTGAGGTACTCCTCTACCAGTTGATCCAGTTGAGGCAGAGTCACCAAAGATAGTCGAATCATCAGGAGCTGAGGGAAGCATCATTGACGGAAAAAGGATAAGTTCAGTTTGATGCCTTATGTGCTATATTCCTCACAGCTCCCATGTTTCCCAATGATGACAAGGTGTTATCTCAAGGACCTTCTGGCTGTTAGGGTATCTTTATACTCTGGACATTATATTCTGGGATCCTTCCACTGAGAGCTGGCATTTACTTCACTATTATATGTATATGTTATATTGATTACATGCATTCATTTTCATGGCTGACTTAGGTGTCTCTATTTCACCTTTTTAAGTGTTTAGCAGTTGTGTGTATATGAATCTTCACTATATGTGTTAACATGGTTATGATAATGAACTTTCATAACCTGGGGGCTTTCTTTAGTAAGTAGTGGGGGTGTCCAGCCAAGTGTGCCTAGGAATATTGTATTCATATACAGATATATTTTGTAGTGCCAATACTTGAGTTGCCCTACTCCAGAGATAAGTTGAGCGTATATTGGCCACGGGGAATCCCTTAGACCAATACGAGCCAAACGACTCAACATAATTATTTCTGAGTGCTGTTGGTTCTGAAGGAGAAATCCTTACATCAGGCACGTGACAGGAGTGATATGTGACAAGTGACAAACTACTAAACGTATAATTGCCATTAAAATGCTGGGGTTGGTTCTGCAACATCATGATAAGGGTACGCAACTAATTTATAGACAGGTATAATTTAATTAGCACATTACCTTGAGAATTTCTGAAAGCTTAGACTTCCCCCGATCATAGCTGCTTGGTGCTTGGCTTTCGCGGCTGATGCTTATTATGAAACGTTTAAACAAGTAATAAAGTTTAAAAAGTTTTAAAGAGTGCTGTGATGTCAATTCTTAATTCAACATTTAAAAAGTACAAATAAAGTACCCCTTTTTCTTCTGTGGCTTATCGAGCATAAGATGTTGGGCTAATAATCTTATGGACCTATCGGCACTATGTGCTTGATGTGGTAAACATCACGCCGGTCGCGTTGACTTTTCACGACCCATTTTAGGCTGGGACGACCTGAGATATAAGATCAGTTTTGAAAAAAAAAAGAATCCGGTGGATGACAATTCGTCTTCTGGCTGAAAGTCGAGTGCTAGCCACTACACGAATCCTAGGAAATGGGTTAGCCAACCCCAAGACCACCAGTCATCCACAACTTGAGACATAAAGTAAGCTTGTTCTTCTTCTTCTGCGTTTGCCTAGAAAGGGCCGTTAATACGATGAGGTAAACACAAGGATCTCTAAAGCCAGCTGCACATTTGGCAGACTATACACCAATATCTGGCATCGAAGTGGTATCAGTCTGCAAACCATATTGAAGGTATACAGAACTGCGGTACTTCCAGTGCTGCTGTATGTTTGTGAAACATGGACTGTATAGAGACGTCATGTAAAGAAGTTCAACCACTTCCACACAGTCTCTCTAAGAAAACTACACAAAGTTAAGTGGCAAGACAGTGTCCCGAATATTGTCGCATTGGATAGAGCTGATATTCCCAGCATCAATACCATCATGATCATCATCATCATCAGCGCCTTGCCGACTGGCGTGGGCAAACATGCCCCTCCACAATCTGCGCCCTCCTGCAGCATATAATAGTTCGTGTGCTGACACAACTCCATGCCATGCAACAAAACTGTAAAGAATCTTCGCTCGTTGTCTTCTTCTATCCCCCCTTCCACAGATCCTTCACATGTTCCATTTTACCCCTTCTTATAACATGGCCGAAAAATGATGACTGTCTCCTTCTGATGTCTGTGATTAGTTGTCTTCGAGCTCCTGACTCTTTCAAAACCTCTTGGTTGTTCTTTTTTTTATTTTTTTATGTAGTCACAGATTCTATGGGCAGGTCACATTGCCCGCGTACCAGACCACCGGCTCCCCAAAAATAATCTTGTATAATGAGATATAGGAAGATAGAAGCTCTCATGGTGGCCAGGAAAAAAACGCTTTAAGTGACACCCTAAAGGCATCACTTGAAGGATCAGTATAGACCCTGACACTTGGGAGACTGCTGCACAAGACCGGACAACATGGCGAATCTCTATCCAAAAGGACAGCAACCTGAGAGGCTTCAAGAAAAGGGTCAGCTGAGCAGCCCAGACAGGCTAGATAGTCCCGCATAAAAGGCCCCTTACCTACAGACACTGTTCCCTGCCCTCATTGTCCTATATCCTTCGTGGTTATATTGGGCTTATGAGTCACCTCCGGACTCACAGAACTCGACTAAAGCTTCATGACGGCTAAAAAAAAAGTGGTCCTTATCATGTGTGATTGATGAACAATATAGTACGTCGCGTTGTAGTTTATAGTCAGGTTGTAATATCCACGATTTTCGGTCCAACACATCCGATTTCAGCAACCCCCAAATTACCTTTTACGACATTCTTCTTGGAGACAGTAACTTTATTCACCCCCCCCCCCCCCCCCCCAAACCACCCCCATTCCCCCAATGCGGCACGGGAACCCACACGGGGAATAAAGATATAGTTAGTATTTGTAACTTTTTTATAATAAAAAGACAAAAATATAAGACACAAAGGAAAGGAAGTGAGAGATGGATATTTCCTATTTGTTTTGCAATCAAATAATGTATCCTTTGCAATGTAATCATTCACAACTGTATTATCACCATAGCTGTGTTACTATGGAAACGGAGGAAGCAGTCAGGGATTACTATGGTAAATCGTTAACATCTTCAAATGATCTGACAACCACAAATGTGATCCAGTGTTCCAGGAATGCTGGGAAATTAGCGACCTTTGTCACGGAAGCTCTGTCACTTGTGCATGAAGACATCACAAACAGGTTTGCAATAACTTTCTTTCTTTCTTTCTTTTTTTCTTTCTTTCTTTCTTTCTTTCTTTCTTTCTTTCTTTCTTTCTTTCTTTCTTTCTTTCTTTCTTTCTTTCTTTCTTTCTTTCTTTCTTTCTTTCTTTCTTTCTTTCTTTCTTTCTTTCTTTCTTTCTTTTAATCCTCTGCGATTAGTGGTGGTAGTAGTAGTAGTAGCAGCAGCAACCGCAGCAGTAGTATTGGTAGTAGTAGTAATACGCTTGTCAAATACCAGACGTTTTCAATATTCAATATGAAATTTTGAAATAGAAAATAGCTCCATATACTGTATCCCATTTATAACCCAGACTGTTAGTGCGACTTGGAGCCTCCATGGTATCTCCTGGCTAGACGCTCGCCTGCGGATTCAACGATCGTGGGTTCAAATCCGTAGGAGCCGGAATTTTTTCATACATGAAAACTCAGCCTTTAAGCCAACTCGTGGGAAGTAAAGGTGGTCGCCATGATGTTGCACCACCCATCTTTACAAATATGAGTGTAGCCCCATACTGCCCTATGCGTCACTGGCTTGTACAGGAACCTTTACTTTTTACTATTGCTGCAGCTATTACTAATATAATAGCAATAGTGACAGTAGTACGAGCAGAAGTAGTAGTATTAGTAGTAGTGGTAGCAGCAGTTGTAAAAGCAGCATCAGTAGTAGTTGCGATAGTAGTAGCAGTGGCGGCATCATTGATGGGGATGGGGTTGTAGTAAGAAGAAATTCCACAGGGTAGGATGTACAGCAGAAGTCTACCAATCATCAGTAGAAGTAACCTCTCGTCGACAAATGTTTCGGCCCACGAGCTCCTAGGCATTTTCAGAGAGTGGGCCCACCTGAGTTCATGAAGCTCAGGGTTGGTTTCACCTGCTGCACGTATTACCGGATGTTATTTGGACAGGGACAAGAAGAATTGGTGATCTTGCAAAAGGTACTGTGAGATAAGAAATCGTTGCGGTAGCATAATTAAAGCAGTCTGCATACCTGGACGACCGAGTGGCAAGCTTACGATTGGTTTACCGGATACATGTTGGACTTTGTTGGCATGTGGCAGAGGGACACTGGCAGACAATTTGGACACGATGGACTTTAAAGGATGAGACATTCTTTTCCACTAGACACCCGGACCAGCTCACCGAGGCCCGTCCCCCACGTTGTTCCGCTGTGTACAGAGCCAGCTCGAGGCCCTCTCAGCAACCTCGCCCAGTTGTTTAAGTGTCCGTTTGCGTTCATTACCTCGTAAGCCTAGTTCTTTGATCACATTGTAGAGTGAAGTGGAAACGAGACCTCTTGCGCCTACTTCGACGGCGAAGACTCTTATTGTGTACGCTTCGTCCCTCCTCAGACCGGCTGCTAATTCACTGTATTTCTCGAGCTTATACATATGGCTTTCGTCCATTCAAAACTCATACTTCACGCTCAGCTCAATCAGGATGAGCTGACGTTTCTCCGCAGAGTGAGTAACTATGTCAGGTCGCAGGCCGGTCTTCCGGATTAACTCAGGGTACCTTTCACGGTCAGGCAAGTTAACCGCCAGTAACCAGTCCCTCGCAGAGTCTAGCAAAGATGGAGCGTATTAAGGAAGCGTATGGGGACGACGGTAGGACTGGCCCTCGCGTTGGCTCCCATCCTAGCTTGGTCCACAACGATTTCCTAACTCTTTTAGCACCTTGTTGTGGCGCCAAGTGTATCTGCTTTGACCTAGGGCTTTTATGCACGCGGACAGAACGTGCTCAAGCGTTTGCTTAGCTCTGTACAGCGGGCATGTCGGGTCGTTAGCCGCACTCCACTTTACCATGTTGACACCGGACGGTAATACATCGTACGCAGAACGAACGATAAAGCTCAGTCGCAGCGGGGTCATTCGCCAGATCTCACCCCATGTGAGTACTCTTGGCAAGGCGCTCTCCAGGCTGATCCAATGGCCGTGCTGCGTCTGTTGGGCTGCTTTCTGAACTCTAATCTCGTTTTCGTTGTCCCTAATCTGCTGTATCACCATGTCTCGGCGCTCTTTGGCTGTGGCTTTGGGCCACCAACTGACTTTCCCGTGACCTAGGCCTCGACGGTCAGTTTGAGTGTAACCCATAACTTCCTTTAGTTTTAGTGCATTCTGGGCAGATTCGGTCGCATCTAGGACCTTCCACTTCAGACCAGTAGTTTTGAATTAATGGAACAATGTGGTTTGATTTTAGAAAAAAGTTTGGGGCGCTCTGAAGTTCGTTTCACATGAGCATCGCTCAGTTCATAAGCGCCGTCTTTTTTACGCAGATTCATCAGGATCGTCACTGGAGCTGCAGAATTCGTGCTCTGTGCGACGCTCACGGCATGTGGCTATCTATATGCGGTGAGAGATCGAGCTGTATTTTCAACTCAGTGAACAAGTGAAAGCACTTGTTACGCCCCCCCCCCCCTTTTTGCATGCGTCACTTCGGCTACAGACAGGTTGTTGACAATATGGCTGGCGGGATACCACATCCGACCAAAATGGATCGGCGAGCAGTGATTCAGTTCCTTACACGCGAAGGATGCCAACTGGTAACATTTATCGCAGAATGCAGGCAGCATATGGTGAGAAATGTGTGTCGAAAACTACAATAAAGGACTGGGTGCGAATGTTTCGAGAAAGACGCGAGATAACGAAAGATCTCCTAAGGCCGGGCCAGGCTCTAGTTGTTGTAAAGAAGAAATCATCGAGAAGATTAAAGCAGCGATACGGCAGCATGCTCATCGGAGCTTACGTTCGCGGGCGGAGGAATTTGATGTATCAGCTCAAACGGTGGTTGGAAAGAAACTGAGTTATCAGATAGTGTGTTTGCAAGGATTCCCCCCGATGGGGACAGACCAGGATAGGCCTAAGTATGTTGCTATGGAAATCGGGGAGGCGGCTGTCAAAGACTGCTTATGGTAAAGAGTTAACATCTTCAAATGACCTGACAACCACAGATGTGATCCAGTGTTCAGAAATGCGGAACAGCTGACCACATTTGTTACAGAAGCTCTGTCGCTTGTTCATAAGGAAATCAAAAACAGGATTTCACATCTTAAACAGTACGTGGCTACAGGAGATCAGGATAACACACATTTATAATAGACAGTGATTCCCAAACTGCGCCGTGACGCCCCAGGGAGCCGCCCGCGCATTCATCTACCCACACCATTTATCTCACCATCCACTCAATGCTATTTTTCACCGCTTCCTTCCATTCTGGCTGTTACCAGCCTTACACTTGGGCTCTACCAATACTTTGTATAAAAATCACCCTTACTGTCTCTATTTGATAGCGGACAGTAAGAGCGAAGCACTGTGTTACTAGACTCATGTTTTTACCGCATCTCATATTTGATCGATCAATCCATCCATCTACGATACCATTCATCCACTAATACAGTCATCCATCATTCCATCCATTCATCTACCCACCCATCCATCCATCTACCATTCCATTCATCCACTAATACAGTCATCCACCATTCCATCCATTCATCTACCCACACATCTATCCAGGACACACTCGCTTATCCACACCACCATCCACACATGCTGTTTTCCCATCTATCCCTTCATCGCTCCCTTACACTCTGATTGTTACCAGTCTTACTCTCGGGCTCGACTGATTAATTTTGTATAACAAGCATCCTTACTGTCTCTATTTGATAGCTGACAGTAAGAGAGAAGCATTTATCTATCTATCTATCTATCTATCTATCTATCTATCTATCTATCTATCTATCTATCTATCTATCTATCTATCTATCTATCTATCTATCTATCTATCTATCTATCTATCTATCTATCTATCTATCTATCTATCTATCTATCTATCTATCTATCTATCTATCTATCTATCTATCTATCTATCTATCCATCCATCCATCCATCCATCCATCCATCCATCCATCCATCCATCCATCTATCCACCTACCTACCTACCTACCTACCTACCTACCTGTCTGTCTGTCTGTCTGTCTGTCTGTCTGTCTGTCTGTCTGTCTGTCTGTCTATCTATCTATCTATCTAGCTGTCTGTCTGTCGATATTTGTTTGCAAGCACAGACACCACTTTTATTCCACACGGATGGACTAAGGTCATCCCCACAACCCAACCCCGGTTACGCCCTATAGGCCAACCCCTCCCTCCCTCCTTAGACACCTAGTGTACGCTGTTGGCGTCCAGCCCGTCCCTTTTTTTGCCCCTACCTGCACGTTGGAGGTATATAGGCTGACCGTCGTTTCATTTGAACGAAGTTTTTTCGCCAGGGACACTAGATGAGTATCGTTTATTTTATACATTAGAGTCCTATGTAGTCACTTCATAGTTAGAGCCTATTTGTGTATGTGTACTGTGTTGTCTTTTATGTGCTGATGAAGGCTAATCGCCGCAACGTCTTTTGTTTGTTTATTGTGATCGATTTTGTAAAGCTAACATAAACTAATTGTTGTTTCTTACCAACTTTTTCTCTTCCCTATAATTTTCTACTCCTTATAAAAAAAAAAAAAAAAAAGACCTTTTCACAGGGGCGCTGCTGAATATTGTAAAAGCTTCATAATTGATTTAACCAAGACATAAATCGTCATGCTTTTACTTAGGTTAGGGCGCCCTGGAAAAATGTCAATTGAAAAAAGGCTCAGCGACCAAGAAAAGTTTGGAAAACACTGATATAAGAGATTAGTTTTGCATAGGGAAATAATAATAGTCCAGTTCACTTTAAATATCCCTGAGAAGGTTTTTATCTTATACAACTTGTAACCTCCAGTTTTGTTTCTATATTAAGTAGTCACCGTTTCATTATAAATTAAGAAGGCTTGGAAAGAAAGTGGTTGACTCATAGTATGTGTTAATATATGTCAGTTCATATCTTTATAGCAGCATTTGACTTTGGCTTTCTTTTACTTAATTCCTTGAGGCCATGAATTTGACAGAATATGTATGCCATCCCCTTGTGTGATGCAGTTTTTCGTTTTTTTGACCTTTCCATGGGTGATCCTTATCCGCATGGTGGCACTTTGTATCACCGGGTGTTTATCGCTATGTTTGATGTCTTGATAGGGTAAAATTTACTTTCTTACTAATTTGACAGACTTGGCTCACATTAATTTCCCTTTTCAAAAAGGGCAGAGGGGGTGGTGTAAAAAAAAACACCCTATATTGAGAATGTTATATATTTCTAATCCCATAAATTTTTTTGTAAAGAGGAATAAATGTACATTTTGAATCTGTTTGATTTGCAGACTGATACAACATCAGTGCCAGATATTGGTGTATGGTCTGCCAAATGTGCAGCTGGCTTTAGAGATCCTGGTGTTTACCTCATCGTACTAACCACCCTTTTAAGGCAAACGTAGAAGAAGAAAAACAAGCTTACTTTGTGTCTGAAGTTGTGGATGAAAGTAGGATTAGTCTTGGGGTTGGCTAACCCATTTCGTAGGATTCGCGTTGTGGCTAGCAATCGACTATCACCCAGAAGACGAATTATCATCCACCGGACTGTAACCAAAGTGGCAGTGAATAACTAAAGTGGCAGTGACTGTAACTAAAGTGGCAATGACTGTAACTAAAGTGGCAGTGACTGTAACTATAGTGGCAGTGACTGTAACTATAGTGGCAGTGACTGTGTCTAAGGTGGCAGTGACTGTAACTAAAGTGGCAATGACTGTAACTAAAGTGGCAATGACTGTAACTAAAGTGGCAATGACTGTAACTAAAGTGGCAGTGAATGTAACTAAAGTGGCAATGACTGTAACTAAAGTGGCAGTGACTGTAACTAAAGTGGCAATGACTGTAACTAAAGTGGCAGTGACTGTAACTAAATTAGCAATGACTGTAATTAAAGTGGCAGTGACTGTAACTAAAGTGGCAATGACTGTAACTAAAGTGGCAGTGACTGTAACTAAAGTGGCAATGACTGTAACTAAATTAGCAATGACTGTACCTAAAGTGGCACTGACTGTAACTAAATTAGCAATGACTGTAACTAAAGTGGCAATGACTGTAACTAAAAAGGCAATTACTGTAACTAAAGTGGCACTGACTGTAACTAAAGTAGCAATGACTGTAACTAAAGTGGCAGTGACTGTAACTAAAGTGGCAGTGACTGTAACTAAATTAGCAATGACTGTAACTAAAGTGGCAGTGACTGTAACTAAAAAGGCAATGACTGTAACTAAAGTGGCACTGACTGTAACTAAAGTGGCACTGACTGTAACTAAAGTAGCAATGACTGTAACTAAAGTGGCAATGACTGTAACTAAATTAGCAATGACTGTAACTAAAGTGGCAATGACTGTAACTAAAGTAGCAATGACTGTAACTAAAGTGGCAATGACTGTAACTAAATGGGCAATGACTGTAACTAAAGTGGCAATGACTGTAACTAAAGTGGCAATGACTGTAACTAAAGTGGCAATGACTGTAACTAAAGTGGCAATGACTGTAACTAAAGTGGCAATGACTGTAACTAAAGTGGCAATGACTGTAACTAAAGTGGCAATGACTGTAACTAAAGTGGCAATGACTGTAACTAAAGTGGCAATGACTGTAACTAAAGTGGCACTGTAACTAAAGTGGCAATGACTGTAACTAAAGGGCAATGACTGGGTGGCAATGACTGTAACTAAAGTGGCAATGACTGTAACTAAAGTGGCAATGACTGTAACTAAAGTGGCAATGACTGTAACTAAAGTGGCAATGACTGTAACTAAAGTGGCAATGACTGTAACTAAAGTGGCAATGACTGTAACTAAAGTGGCAATGACTGTAACTAAAGTGGCAATGACTGTAACTAAAGTGGCAATGACTGTAACTAAAGTGGCATGACTGTAACTAAAGTGGTGACTGTAACTAAAGTGGCAATGACTGTAACTAAAGTGGCAATGACTGTAACTAAAGTGGCAATGACTGGGTGGCAATGACTGTAACTAAAGTGGCAATGACTGTAACTAAAGTGGCAATGACTGTAACTAAAGTGGCAATGACTGTAACTAAAGTGGCAATGACTGTAACTAAAGTGGCAATGGTCTCTCTCTCACTCAGGACCTATGGCTGTGCCACAGCTTACCCTGAAGCACTTGATGGAGCCAAAGTGTTGGACCTTGGAGCGGGCTGTGGGCGGGATTGTTTTGTCCTGAGCAACATTGTTGGGGAGGAGGGTACAGTGGTGGGATTGGACATGACTGATGAATTGGTGAGTTTTAAGCCCACAACAGACTGGGCAGTCACTTAAAAACACAACAGACTGGGCAGTCACTTACACAGACTAAGGTTAGTCAGGACACAACAGACTGGGCAGTCACTTAAAAACACAACAGACTGGGCAGTCACTTAAAAACACAACAGACTGGGCAGTCACTTACACAGACTAAGGTTAGTCAGGACACAACAGACTGGGCAGTCACTTATACAGACCAAACTTAGTCAGGACACAACAGACTGGGCAGTCACTTACATAGACTAAAGTTAGTCAGGATACAGCAGACTGGACAGTCACTTACATAGACTAAATTTAATACACAACAGACTGGACAGTCACTTACATAGACTAAAGTTAGTCAGGATACAGCAGACTAGGCAGTCACTTACATAGACTAAATTTAGTCAGGATACAGCAGACTGGACAGTCACTTACATAGACTAAATTTAATACACAACAGACTGGGCAGTCACTTACATAGACTAAAGTTAGTCAGGACACAGCAGACTGGACAGTCACTTACATTGACTAGTTAGTCAGGACACGACAGATGGGCAGTCACTTACATTGACTAGTTACTCAGGACACAACAAATTGGACAGTCACTTACATAGACCATAGTTACTCAGGACACAATAGACTGGGCAGTCACTTACCTAGATTAAAGTTACTTAGGACACAACAGACTGGGCAGTCACTTACATAGACTAAAGTTAGGACACATACAGACTGGGCAGTCACTTACATTGACTAAAATTAGTCAGGACACAACAGACTGGGCAGTCACTTACATAGACCAAAGTTAGTCAGGACACAATAGACTGGACAGTCACTTACATAGACCAAAGCTAGTCAGGACACAACAGACTGGACAGTCACTTACATAGACCAAAGTTAGTCAGGACACAATAGACTGGACAGTCACTTACATAGACCAAAGTTAGTCAGGACACAATAGACTGGGCAGTCACTTACATAGACCAAAGTTAGTCAGGATACAGCAGACTAGGCAGTCACTTACACAGATTAAAGTTTAACTTTGTAGTAGGCACACTTACTTATTTTGATTTCACATTTATATCCTGGTTATGTAAGTTGTTTAAGGAAAAGAGAAGAGATTTAATTATTGAATTAGATTGTTGTTTGAAAAGCCGGTTATAAACATATACAATTGAGTTGATATTCTTGTTTCTTCATTTGATTTTTTTCTAACAGCTGCAGTTAGCACGAGATAAAGTTGACTACCACACTTCCAAATATGGTTATGCCAAGCCTAATGTGAGTTTTGTCAAAGGTTACATGGAGAACATGAAGGAAGCAGGCATAAATGATGACTTTTTTGATGTTATTGTGTAAGTCATACTTCAGAGTTTTATAAATATTCAGTAGACACACATGTCTACACACATATGGACACACAATCACACACACACACATACACAGAGATGTGACCTATTTTAAAGTAACTAAGAATTCCTTGGACAGCTTTGAAAACTCACATGAAAGTACTGTCTTTGTTGCATATATATAAAAAACTGTTGGGTTGTGTAAATGGAAGGATGGGGGGAGGTGGTGTCATGAGTTTATAACTAGAGCGTGTGCCACAAACTATACAGGCAAAGATTTATTCCCCTGATAGAAAAAAGCAAAATGACCTAACTGAGGTTTCTTATTCTTCTATGTTCTCTTTTTACAGCTAGGCTATGCAACCAGTGCCTTTCGCTCCAGTATTTCTGATTTCAGCAAATTCTTAGTCAGTCACCTTTTATGGCATGCTTGTTGAAGGATTTTGGGTCTATCCTATATGGCATTTAATAGCACAACATGATGATGATATTGTTGATCTGAGTTTCTGAGAGTTGATTTTTTGGGATGACATCCAAATAGTGGCTCTTTTAGTCACTGGTTGTTAATATTTGAGACTGCAGCCCTGGAGGGAAAAGTTTAAAAACAAATATGTAGCTTTCTTCCTCTTCTTCTTATTCTTCTTTTGTTGTCTCACTAATACCAGGTTTTAGCCCAATGTTGTGGTTTTTCTGTATTTGTCTTGCCCTTCTCGAATAGTTTGGGTCAGGGATTTGTTAATTTTTTTGCATGTTTCTGCTACACCATTTATCCATCTCTTTCTTGGTCTTCCTCCCAGATGTTCTGCTGTAAAAAGTCTCATATGCAGTTTGGCCTGGATGCATTCTCACTAGATAGCTTAACCATTTCATTCTTTGTCAGTCAGTATAATCCAGACATGGTCTTATTTCAACTTTAATGCTGGTATTCATAACTCTCTCTCTCTTCTTGTGTTGTTAGCGACCTTGCTGAGACAGCGCATATGCAGCCATTTTGAGTTTTGTTATATTTACTCTTTCATTCCTAAGCAGCTCATAATTTGCTGCTCTCCTTGAATCCAAGTTAACATTTATTGTTTTGCCTTACTTGACACATTTGACACTGTGATTTTTAATATTTTTCAAAGTTTTGCACTTGTAATTTTTCAATCTTCTTCTTAAGTCATTGCTGTGTGGCGTTGGTAGTCATGTCTATCCACAACATTCTGTCTCGTAAACTTTCAGACAACTCAGACACAGATGATCTTGCATGCCATGATGTCAAACGTTCAGATCTCTTGGTCCCCTTTGCCTCTCCTCCCCTCCAGCATTCCTACTATCATGATGTACTCCCGTTTTCTCCTTCTCATGACATGACCAAAGAAAGAAGGTTGCCTCTTTTTGATGTGGACAGTCATTTCTCATCGTGAGTCAATTTCTTTCAAGATGTCTTCATTGCTCTTTTTTTTCTGTCCAGGTTATTCTCATCATTCGGAGAAGAAGAGGATTTTTCAGTGTAGTTAGTTCTGTTTTGTGTGTCTGGTGCCATACATTAAGAGATTGTAAGTTAATGCAAGGATTATAAAAAAGGAAACAGATCTGGAAGGTGGCCCTATAAAAAAAAAAGCTGTAAAAGTTTAAAAAGGAAGAAGTGAAGGAGGCTTTTCACACCAGTGGCACATTGGGCATTTGATGCTAGACTCATGTTTTTATAGACCAACAGACACTCAGTGGATTATGTGGTCAGTATCAAGTGGTTGCCTTTACTTCCTAAGATTTTACCTGTACCCATTTGAAGCTGGGTTAGCCAGGGAGCTAAGGTTATTTTATATATTTAAAAAAAAAAAACCAGTCCAACTCAGTGTGGATTAGAATTGAAGACCTTTGATGCGATAAGCGATCATTTAGCCACTACACCCCATAGCTATAACAATAACATGTTATGAAACTTTGAATGTTTTTGTTCTTATTTAGATCAAACTGTGTTATCAGCTTGTGTACTGACAAAAGAGCTGTTCTGAGAGAAGCTTATAGAGTCCTAAAGGTATTTGTGATAATAATCTGCTTTGTTGTGTGTTGTTAACATAACATAACCCTTGACCCATTAGGGTCGTGGAGGTGTATTGGTAGAAACACTAACACAAACAATCCGCCATCTTTCTCTGTCTTCCGCTTATGAATCTTCTTCTTCTTCTCTTCCACCTTGTACCTCATCGAAGTATCGGGGGGAGATGTAAAGTTCGTTGATGAGCTCTGTCAAGAGCACTATTAAAACTGATGTTCATTTCTGTAAGGCTGTTCTTAATGCTATCACTCCAACTTTTCCGAGGTCTTCCACTCATTCTATACCCATTGTACCATTTTAGTGTGGCTCTCTGTGGCAAATGGTACCAGGGCATTCTTGGTGAATAAGTATATGATAACTTAGTCCTGTCCATTTCTTGATGTTGTCATTCCAGTCTTTGTTGCTCTCCTCTTCCTCGACTAGCCCTCCACCCCCTCCTTTCCTCTTTTTCCATATTACTATAAGTACAATCTTTGCAATCGGATCATGTCTCATGATGTGTGTGTTGTTAGTGTTAGTTTAGTCAACTGCTAAAACATTTACACATTTCATATCTTTAGCTAACCTTATCTGTCAAGTTTGAATGCTTCAGCCTTCAGAAGACAACCTGACTGAACCCCTACCTCTTGCATTTTCATGCCCAGGGCATATTAATCTTTCCTGTCAACCATCATATTGGACAACCTCTGCCTCAGCCTTCAAGAACCTTGGCCTTCTATTGCTTTTTTCTAAAAAAATTAATACATTTTTGTAAAAGTTAGCTGGATTTGGAAAAATAGATTTTATTTTTCTTCTTTTCTTTTAGTTACCCCATTTAAGTGTTTGGGGAAGATGTAAGGATCTGCTTTGTGTTCTTTGTAATTTATTGTATAAGTTGGTCTTCATTTTGTAAATTCTTTTCTGATGCCATCGTTCTGTGGTTTTATGTGGACTTCCCTTGCTATATGGTCATTATGTTTCTTCAGCATGTCAGTTGGACCTGCGCATTCTCTTGCGATGCTCAAATCATCTCACCTGTCATTCTTTGATGAGTTGTATGACTGGCTTAATTCCCAGTCTTCTAATTTCTTTATTTTTAATTTTATAAAAAATTGGATCTGCAGCAAGAAAATGCCAAAAGTTGCTTAGCACCACGAGCAAATCCTATTTTATGGTCAGTGGGAAACAAGAAAATGTATGTTTCATAAAGTAAGATCACAACTTGGTAAAAGTAATTTAAACAGCATTAAAAGTCTATGGTTAAGCACCAGCAGGGAAATAACAATTTAAATTTTGAGAGCATGTAGCAATATACAGATGTGAGTTGTGGACTATCTCCTAGTTCTTAAAAAAAAAAATAGGGGCTTTTGAGCTGAAATGCTATAGAAATATTTTCAGAATATCATGGACAAAGAAGAGAAGAAATACATTTTAAAAGATCTGAACATCAAGGAAGACTGGCTAATAAACAACATCCTGTCTCGAAAGCTTAAATAGTTTAGTCATATCAAGGGCCATGGCAGATTTGAAAAATAATAGCAGAAGGCATGGTACCAGAAAGGAGGGGCAGGGGCCAACCAACATGAAGATGGGCACTATATATAAGCGATTCCTTGAATATGAAAGTACGTACGGTGGGAGAGCAGACCGTGATGAGAGTGACATTCTGCTAAGGACCTGCTCATGATGAGTGAAAGTACTGCTGCAAGAGAAATTATGATCAGGGAATGTAATGTGCAGTCTGCTGTGTAAAATGTTATTGCATAAACCATTTGCTTATATTTTTTTCTCATTATGCTGTGCTTTTTTTTCTCATTTCAGCCTGGAGGAGAGCTCTACTTCAGTGATATGTACCGCGAAGGACAGCTGCCTCCTGAAGTCTTGGATGACAAAAAATTGTGGTGTAAGTTGAACATTATCATTTTCTACATCATTTAGTAACTGGTGTTTCATCAGCAAGTAATTATTATAAAAAAATAAATTGTTGTACATTTCATATTTTCGCAACAGCAATGGAATTGATAGTAAAAGTTTATGGGGATCAGTGTAATAGAGTCATTGTTCCGATTAAATAAGTACAGTGCTCCATTAAGAAGTATATTTAAAGTACGGATACAACCCCACGCTTAACAAGTGGATAGGGCACACACTAACAGAGACCGTGTAAACATGAATTTTGCCTAAGGACACTAGCTGCGTATTTCACCAGAACATAACATGTATTTTTAACTCCGTCACAAATCTGTGTATGTCGCAGGCAGACCCAGCAAAGGTAGATACACACCAAAGACAGTGGTTTGATTAATTAATGATAAACAGACATGCTCCTACTGTGAGTAAACTCATGTCAAGTTGATTGTTGCTAGGTTATGAATAAATACAACTCAGGGTTGCTGGTAAATGCAACATTCCCTAGACATAAAGGAACAAATGAGTTGAGAAATTCAGGTTGTACAAACTGCAACAAATTCCAGTTTGCAAATTAGAGGGATTAGACAATGAGTAAAAACTAGACACCAGCCACATAGGTGCCTTCTCTGTGATGTCACAAGTCTGCCCAGCACCTTTATAAGGATGAGGGAGAATTTCCCGGGACTGTTGTTAGTGGATTCATTTCTGGAAACTGTAGCCATGTCAGAACATGGCTAGGACATGACAGACTGTTTGAGAAATACAACAAGCGAAGATGTTAAATAACTGATGATAGTGCAGTGTAGAACATGTTTAGAAAACTCTAAAGGAACCCATAGAAGGATGAGGAAGTCTACAAGAGAAATAAAGTTAACCAACCTACACTTGTGCCATACAGGATACGCTTAAAGAAAGTCATTTGAGAATAGGAGGACATGGTGATTTTCTAACATATTTAGCTTTTGTGGTGGCAGGTCTTTTCTACAATATTAATTCATAATGGTGCCAGTGCAAGAAACGTCAAGGGTGCATATCATCAGATCTTAACAATACAATTTTCATCATTTTATTTTTGAGTTTTCATAGTTGAACGGCGTGATGTTGACCACATCACCCATCTTGTGCTGATTGGTCTATAAAAGTATAAGTCTAGCCCTATATGCCCTATATGCCTAAAGGCATGGAAAAGGGTCCTTTACTTTTTTTTTATAGTTGAAGTTATAACTACCAGATGGACACTTAACGTGTGTATTACATTTGTGTTGTCTTGCATGGTCGCCTGTATCTAAGGACATTAAAAATAAAACAGTTGAGTATGACGTATCACGGCTTGACATAGTGTGCCTACATAGTACCAGCAATGTCACATATCAGTGATCTGTTAATTTGGGCAGCTTTCATGGCCAGATGGGCATGAATCGCCTGCAGTTATTAAGCACATAGTGTTATACCAGTGCTAGTCTCATGCACAGATATTCAGGTGTTTTTCAAGATTCAACACTGACGTGGAAACGATTAAAGAAGCTACACCAGGATGCACAGCTCCAGTATGCAATGTTGAACTCATTGTCAGAGTCAGACATTGATAGTCGTGTATCCTTTCTCTGACTTTGTCAATGAGTTCATCATTATAAACATAACTAAATGTCCCAGTACAGTCCCATTCTGTTTGTATCACCTACTTTGTTGGTTACATCTAAAGTGGAAAACAAGTTTTTTATTATATTCATGTTGTGTGCAGGCGAAGGCTTGATTGGTGCATTGACATGCGCAGAACTACATGATATAGCAAAAGAACTGGGTTTTACTACACCTTGTGTTGTCAGAGCAAGCAGTCTGCCAATTCTTGATGAAGAAATCGAGAACAAGTTAGGTGGGTAATAATGGACCAGTCTTTCCTTGCCTTTCTTCCCTCTCATAATGTTAATTTCTTTTTCTGTTTATTGTAATATGTTCCACAATTTTTATTTGTCTTTTCTTAATGGTTTTACTTAGTGAATTATTAACACTTGCAGCTATCCTTATCTCTGTGTTATGTTTTATTCCACAGTTTTTTCGGAGTTATTCTCTAAAACAACACATCTCCACTGTCTCAAGTTTTGCCATGTTTCATTATTCATTGTCCAGCATTAATTTCTGCACAGAAGAACATGGCACACATATTTTTTCAGTAGGATTATTTCCGTGATTATCATGACTTACCATTTTACTGAGTGGTTGAGATGATGGTCTTGAGGTATGGCATCCGCCTCGAGTGCGGGAGGTCCTGGGTTCAAACACCGGTAAAGGCTGGGATTTTTTCACATGGACTTCTAGTAATTTCCCCTGGTCTCTGGGTAGTAAGACCGGATGCCTGTATGTATTGGTGTGCATGTAAAATATACCTTGGCAAAATTTTCAGTTAAAAAATCCACCCAGAATATTTCAGGATCCTCGCCGATGCTACTGAGTTCGTGCACTGTGCTGAGAATCTTCGAACTTCGTACATGAGTTAGAAGTAGAACGGAGCACTCAGGGGTTTCACCTGTGTGCCGTGATGTTGATCCGTTGAACAAACACGAAACTATCCCTGCTATCTTCACAATGAAAGTTGGCTGCACAGGTTGCACAACACTCTCTATCTCTTTTCATAGTTTTACAATCTTTCAAATGCTGTTTGTCCCTTCCCGCTTTACAAAAACAAAAACGTTCAGCCTGCTGTTAGCGTTCTTCTCTTGTGTTATCCCCCTGCTTATATTGCAGTCTAACTCTTCCTTGCCTGCCTTCAACCTTTTCTCCCAGCGTGGCCATAGTCGAGGTTTCAACTTCACGGCAGTCGGGTCACCCCTTACTTGCTCCATTCTTGTGCCAGTAAAAATAAAATGAAATGTCCCTCACTGTCCCATTTGAAATGCTGGTGAACAAACAATTAGTTCTTGCACAATCAAGAAATATGTGCATGCAGTAAATGCATAAGGCTGTTGCGCATTATATTCTTATTTGTGGTATTTATCTTTCTGTACTAAGAGAGCACAGTTGATGTCATAGTGAGTCAGTAATGGCAACAACTAAAGAATAGGTGCACTGCATCACAAGAACCAAATTCACAGCCTTTATTGGAGATAAACATTGTTGGAGTGCATTATTATTTACTGACTACATGTTTGAGGTTTTGAGCAACGGATCAACATTATGGCACACGGGTGTAACCCATAAGTGCTTCATTCTTCTTCTAACTCAAGTCTAATTCCGAAGAAGCTCAGCACAGTGCACAGGCTCTGTAGAACCGGCGAGGATTCTGAAATGCTATGGGTAGTTTTTTACTCCAAATTTTGCCCGAGCAGCGCCATTAGGCTACTCTTTTCGATTTCCAACTGCCAAGGGATTGTGTACATATTGACATGACTATCAATAAACATCCAGCCACACATAGTGCATTGTTTAGTTCTTAAAGAGTTAATTTACATTTATTGTATTTTTCTTGGAATATCTCAGGCCAGGTGAGATATGCATCTGTCACATACAGACTGTTCAAGAGGTTGAATAGAAATGATCAGGACAACAAGACCTCTGCATTCGTCAAATACCTGGGTGGGATTAGAGGTTGTGAGGACGGTTTTACTTTTGACAAGGTCTACACATTCAAGGTTGGTATTGTTGACAGTGGAAAGTATGTTTTGTGTATTTCAGTTGCAAGGATTCATCTTTACCAAGCATAAGTGAAGCAAAAGTGAAGTAAAAGTAAACTAAAATAAAAGACACTCTTTAATGTCCGTAGAGCAGGTAGACTTCACCCACTGCCTCCTTAACAAGCATGTTCAGCTAATAAGGAATGTTTCCCTCAAAGTCGGAGGGCATCTGCTGGAGAGGTGAGGGAAAAACAATCTGCATACAAATAAGTAAGATCTGTACAACCGATGTACATGCAAAAGTCAGATTCCGGAACAAGACTTAAGTCCAGAACTGGACAAAAAAACAGAGCTTTCTGCCAGAGTTTACAGCCGCTGAAAGCCAAAGAAGTAGAAGATTTTGTATACATCCAAGGCTTTCAATATGAAGTGGTTTCTGAAATGTGTGAATTTGGTTTCAACTTAAGTTATTAACTTTGTGAATGCAAGTGTTTTGAAAATCTCTAGGGGGCTTCACAAGAGCTATAGTTTCCTTATGTGATGCTCTTGATTGAAGAACAGCCAGTCTGCAGAGAGGTAAACTCTATGGGGTAAAGAATCTGATACAGTGATATTGGTATTTTTGCATTTAACCCTGTTCCCTCAGTAAGCTGCACAACTTAGACTTCTGGTTGAGACAATTTTCTGTAAATATTACTTTTCCAACTTGTTTATAGTAACCTGTTTGTGAGTTATAGGTGTAGTTATTGCTGCTGGCTCTGTCCACACAAGATCAAATGTTTTTGAGGTCAGAATGTAAATATATTAACTAAAAATAAAATTTAGGGGGATTTCCTTCAAACCAAATGGTTTTTTAAAACCAAGTTTTAGTCACTTTTTTCCGCAAACATCAGTGATAGATGCATGGGGTTTCAGCATGCCATTTGACACAGACAGTTTAGGCCCTGGGGAATGTATTTCATTTAATGCTTCACTCTGTGCATGTTTATTGATTATTCCCTTTATATATCTTTGTATATTTCAAGGAAGGGGAAAAGGGGGGCGGAGGGGGTGCACAGAAGTTAAATTTTAAAAAAATGTTTTTTTTTGGTCTTTAAGTCTTGTGTAAAATTATTGTTTTTGAAAGATTTTTTCGAGAATTTCCATGGAGTCATGACCCATTTTGTTTAGCGTTACTAGGGCGAAAGGATTTAATTGCCTTTTTTTGTTTGTTTTTTGCTTTGTTTACAAAGAAGACAAACAACAGATTGTCAAGTTTATTGCCTTACATATTTAGATGTTATTTTCAAGATGAATGCTGCAGTAAGTAAGAATTGAATACAGTGAAAGAAATGAATCCTTCCAGCTTTTTTTTGGGTCGTGGCCCCCTCCCCCCACCCCCTTGAGTATATGGCAAGACTTTCACCCGCCCCCTTGAGTAAAATTCAAGACGCCTACGCCCCCCCACTCCCCAGGAGTGGTTGCATAGATACTAAATGAATTAATAATGCCAGAGTGGTCATCATTTTTACACTGCTGATTCAGTACATCTAACCCCAGTGCTTTTTTTCTCCACAGAAAGGGAAGATGACCGCTGTGGACCCAGAGGTTGCTAACATTCTGTCTACTTCCCGGTTTGTGACTTTCTTTGATGTGGTTCTTGCAGCTGAACAAAGTACCCATTCTTTTCAGGTAAGGCACCTGAGTTTGTACACTATAGCCTAAAATATTAGTGGTTTTGTTTTTGTTTTTAGTGTGATCTGCTCTGACATTTAACTCTTTGAGTCCCAAGGACCTATAAGCCCAATGAATGCAAGATGTGCCGATTTTACGTCTTTCTTGACTACCCCTTGGGCCTCTGATGCCAATCCCCCTGAGACTTAAAGAGTTAAGGAACAAATCTTCTTCTTCTTCAATCCTGTTCTGTCTTTCAGCGTCAGGTTTTGAAGAGGGATCGAGTGAGAACTTTGGTATGTGTTATGTGGATGCTGCTGTTTACAACCTCAGATATTCCATCTATCCATTACTTACATGGTCGACCTCTAATTCTGCTTCCATTATGTCTGTGACAGGAATCTCTGTCTTCTTCTTCTTTTTTCGTTCGCCTGAAATAAGTTGTCTATGTCAGCAGTTTTGTCTCTTGTATAAATTTCACTGTTGTTGTTAATTCATTCAGTGGTCCATAGAGTTTACGTTCCACTGTTGTTCTTTCTGGCCAAAAGGTTTGCCTTGATGTGTCAAATTCTATGCAGTCCTGGAGTACATGCTCTGCTGTCTGGGGCACCTTTCCACAGGTACACATGGCTGATACGCCTATCTTAAATTTTGTGTACATGTGGTTACATAATCAGTTGTGCCCTGTTCGGAAGCGGAGGATAATGTAATGACTTGTTCTGATCTGTCCATAATAAAATAGTCCTCTTGTGCTGGGGCTGGTGGTTTCCTGATTGATATAATTATTCTTTTCTTTTGGTGGTATGTGACTGGTACAACCGGCTGCACTTTTGTCGCACTTTCTCCTGCTAGTTGATCAGCTTTCTCATTTCCAGGCACTCCATAATGTGATGGTATCCATTGCATCACAACTCTTCGCTGAAGGCTAAGTTGTGTCAGCAGTGTTTGCAATTCTGGTAGTTTCCTAGACTGGAGTGCTTCAAGTACTGATTTTGCATCTGTCAGCATTACCACATACTGTGAGCCAAGATTGGTATTTAGCAGTTTCTCTGTTGCTATCTTGGGCTGTCTGTGATGGTCGTCTTAACACATTTAAATATTTCATTTGTTGTCTCTTCGTTCTGTCCCAACCATGTTCTGTGCAGAGTGGCAAACATCACTTCAGAGGTCACTGGTAGTTGGCATCCTTTGAATATTTTCTCCACAATATGCTGGTATGTTGGGAAATGAGCAGGCAGAAATACTGGTGGGGTCTGCACTGGGGTATTGATGTTTGACAAGCTAGATGTTGTAAGGGCCTTCTGGGAGCAACTGAACAGTGCAGAGGGACAGATGGATCATTATGGTCTGAAGAGAATGGTGCTGCGAGGAGCTACAAGGTGATCTGGCCGACGCTCGACACTCAACTTAAGATGAGACGGATATACAGACAGTTACTGGTACCATCAGAATAGTAACTCTTTGCTTGCTACTGAAGATGGGGATGGAGCGTTTATGCGAGTGTCCCGAGTGCTGTGATGTTGATTCTTAATTCAGCACCATATTGTAATCACAAAAGGATAACATTCTACAGTTGCGTGCATGCGAGAAGGAAAAAAAAAAAAGAAATAGAGAGAGAGAGAATTACATACACCTCCATATGGAAAAGATCGTATCAATACATTTCTCTCAATTATCTATATTTTAAATTTTATATTTTTTTACCCACAGATTGTAGACCCATTCAAGTTGATCTGAAAACTTGTCATAACATGGACTTGGTAGCATGGTCAATGCTTACCATCTGCAGTACATTTTGTTGTACTCTGCAATGCACAAAGCAGGGTCTTTCTTTCAGCGCATGATCTCAATTCACTTTTAACAATAATGAGTAGCTCAGATTGTCTTTTTGAATAAAATGTTTTCATATTTCTAAACAATGTTTTCCTATTGTCAGTTTGAATTCAGTTTGAATAACTGCACAGTTTATCTGGCTGAATAACTGCACAATTTATTGTCTGGCTGAATAACTGCACTGTTTATTGTCTGGCTGCACAACTGCACAGTTTATTGTCTTGCTGAATAACTGCACTGTTTATTGTCTGGCTGAATAACTGCAGGATGTATTGTCTGGCTGAATAACTGCAGGATGCATTGTCTGGCTGAAAAATAGCACAAATTATTGTCTGGCAGAATAACTACACAGTTTATTGTTTGGCTGAATAACTGCACAGTTTATTGTCTGGCTAAATAACTGCACAGTTTATTGCATGGCTGAATAAATGAAAGGTTTATTGTCTGGCTGAATAATTGCAGTTTATTGTCTGGCCGCACAACTTATTGTCTGGCTGAATAACTGCACAGTTTATTGTCTGGCTAGACAACTGCACAGTTTATTGCCTTGCTGAATAACTGCACTGTTTATTGTCTGGCTGAATAACTGCAGGGTGTATTGTCTGGCTGAATAACTGCACAGATTATTGTCTGGCTGAATAACTGTACAGTGTATTGTCTGGCTGAAAAACTGCACAGTTTATTGTCTGGCTAAATAACTGCACAGTTTATTGTTTTGCTGAATAACTGCACTGTTTATTGTCTTGCTGAATAACTGCAGGGTGTATTGTCTGGCTGAATAACTGAAGGATGTATTGTCTGGCTGAATAACTGCACAGTGTATTCTCTGGCTGAATAACTGCAAAGTTTATTGTCTGGCTGAATAACTGCACAGTTTTTTGTCTGAATAACTGCACAGTTTGTTGTCTGGCTGAATAACTGCACAGTTTATTGTCTGGCTGAATAACTGCATGGTTTATTGTCTGGCTGAATAACTGCAGCTTATTGTCTGGCTGAATAATTGCAGTTTATTGTCCGGCTGCACAACTTATTGTCTGGCTGAATAACTGCACAGTATATTGTCTGGCAGAATAACTGCACAGATTATTGTCTGGCAGAATAACTGCACAGATTATTGTCTGGCAGAATAACTGCACAGATTATTGTCTGGCAGAATAACTGCACAGATTATTGTCTGGCAGAATAACTGCACAGATTATTGTCTGGCTGAATAACTGAAGGATGTATTGTCTGGCAGAATAACTGCACAGTTTATTGTCTGGCAGAATGACTGCACAGTTTATGTCTTGCTGAATGACTGCAGTTTATGTCTGGCTGAATAACTGCAGTTTATTGTCTGGCAAAATAACTGCATTGTTTATTGTCTGGCTGAATAACTGCATTGTTTATTGTCTGGCTGAATAACTGCACAGTTTATTGTCTGGCTGAATAACTGCATTGTTTATTGTCTGGCTGAATAACTGCAGTTTATTCTCTGGCTGAATAACTGCACAGTTTATTGTCTGAATAACTGCAGTTTGTTGTCTGGCTGAATAACTGCACAGTTTATTGTCTGGCTCAATAACTGCACGGTTTATTGTATGGCTGAATAACTGCAGCTTATTGTCTGGCTGAATAATTGCAGTTTATTGTCTGGCTGCACAACTTATTGTCTGGCTGAATAACTGCACAGTTTATTGTCTGGCTAGGCAACTGCACAGTTTATTGTCTTGCTGAAAAACTGCACAGTGTATTGTATGGCTGAAAAACTGCACAGTTTATTGTCTGGCTAAATAACTGCACAGTTTATTGTCTTGCTGAAAAACTGCACAGTGTATTGTATGGCTGAAAAACTGCACAGTTTATTGTCTGGCTAAATAACTGCACAGTTTATTGTCATGCTGAATAATTGAACTGTTTATTGTCTGACTGAATAACTGCACAATTTTTTGTATGGCTGAATAACTGCACAGTTTATTGTCTGGCTGAACAACTGCACAGTTTATTGTCATGCTGAATAATTGAACTGTTTATTGTCTGGCTGATTAACTGCAGGATGTCTTGTCTGGCTGAATAACTACAGGATGTATTGTTTGGCTGAATAACTGCACAGATTATTGTCTGGCAAAATATTTGCACAGTTTATTGTCTGGCAGAATAACTGCACAGTTTATTGTCTGGCAGAATAACTGCACAGTTTATTGTCTGAAAAACTGAACTAAATAACTGCACAGTTCATTGTCTGGCTGAACAACTGCACAGTTTATTGTCTTGCTGAATAATTGCACTGTTTGTTGTCTGGCTGATTAACTGCAGGATGTATTGTCTGGCTGAATAACTGCAGGATGTATTGTTTGGCTGAATAACTGAAGATTAATGTCTGGCAGAATAATTGCACAGTTTATTGTCTGGCAGAATAACTGCACAGTTTATTGTCTGGCAGAATAACTGCACAGATTATTGTCTGGCTGAATAACTGCAGGATGTATTGTCTGGCAGAATAACTGCACAGTTTATTGTCTGGCAGAATATCTGCAGTGTATTGTCTGGCTGAATAACTGCACAGTTTGGCTAAAAAACTGCACAGTTTATTGTCTGGCTGAATGACTGCACAGTTTATGTCTTGCTGAATGACTGCAGTTTATGTCTGGCTGAATAACTGCAGTTTATTGTCTGGCTGAATAACTGCACAGTTTATTGTCTGGCTGAATAACTGGACAGTTTATTATCTGGCTAAATAAATGCAGTTTATTCTCTGGCTGAATAACTGCACAGTTTATTGTCTGAATAACTGCACAGTTTGTTGTCTGGCTGAATAACTGCACAGTTTATAGTCTAGCTGAATAACTGCACGGTTTATTGTATGGCTGAATAACTGCAGCTTATTGTCTAGCTGAATAATTGCAGTTTATTGTCTGGCTGCACAACTTATTGTCTGGCTGAATAACTGCACAGTTTATTGTCTGGCTAGACAACTGCACAGTTTATTGTCTTGCCGAAAAACTGCACAGTTTAATGTCTGGCTGAAAAACTGCACAGTTTATTGTCTGGCTAAATAACTGCACAGTTCATTGTCTGACTGAATAACTGCACAATTTTTTGCATGGCTGAATAACTGCACTGTTTAATGTCTGGCTGAAAAACTGCACAGTTTATTGTCTGGCTAATAACTGCACAGTCATTGACTGACTGAATAACTGCACAATTTATTGTCTGGCTAAACAACTGCACAGTTTATTGTCTTGCTGAATAACTGCACAGTTTATTGTCTGGCTGAATAACTGCAAGATGTTTATTGTCTGGCTGATTAACTGCAGGATGTATTGTCTGGCTGAATAACTGCACAGATTATTGTCTGGCAGAATAACTGCACAGTTTTGTCTGGCAAAATTTTGTCTGGCAGAATAACTGCACAGTTTATTGTATGGCAGAATAACTGCACAGTTTATTGTCTGGCTGAACAACTGCAGGATGTTTATTGTCTTGCTGAATAATTGCACTGTTTATTGTCTGGCTGATTAACTGCAGGATGTATTGTCTGGCTGAATAACTGCAGGATGTATTGTTTGGCTTGAATAACTGCACAGATTAATGTCTGGCAGAATAATTGCACAGTTTATTGTCTGGCAGAATAACTGCACAGTTTATTGTCTGGCAGAATAACTGCACAGATTATTGTCTGGCTGAATAACTGCAGGATGTATTGTCTGGCAGAATAACTGCACAGTTTATTGTCTGGCAGAATATCTGCAGTGTATTGTCTGGCTGAATAACTGCACAGTTTGGCTAAAAAACTGCACAGTTTATTGTCTGGCTGAATGACTGCACAGTTTATGTCTTGCTGAATAACTGCAAAGTTTGTTGTCTGGCTGAATAACTGCAGCCTATTGTCTGGCTGAATAATTGCAGTTTATTGTCTGGCTGCACAACTTATTGTCTGGCTGAATAACTGCACAGTTTATTTTCTGGCTAGACAACTGCACAGTTTATTGTCTTGCTGAAAAACTGCACAGTGTATTGTTTGGCTGAAAAACTGCACAGTTTATTGTCTGGCTAATAACTGCACAGTTCATTGTCTGACTGAATAACTGCACAATTTATTGTCTGGCTGAATAACTGCACTGTTTATTGTCTGGCTGCAATAATTGCACAGTTTATTGTCTGGCTGAATAACTGCAGGATGTATTGTCTGACTGAATAACTGCACTGTTTATTGTCTGGCTGAATAAGTGCACTGTTTATTGTCTGGCTGAATAACTGCACTGTTTATTGTCTGGCTGAATAACTGCAGGATGTATTGTCTGGCTGATTAACTGCAGGATGTATTGTCTGGCTGAATAACTGATTTATGTCTGGCAGAATAATTGCACAGTTTATTGTCTGGCAGAATAACTGCACAGATTATTGTCTGGCATCATAACTGCACAGATTATTGTATGGCAGAATAACTGCACAGATTATTGTCTGGCTGAATAACTGCAGGATGTATTGTCTTGCTGAATAATTGCACTGCTTATTGTCTTGCTGATTAACTGCAGGGTGTATTGTCTGGCTGAATAACTGCACAGATTATTTTCTGGCTGAATAACTGCACAGTGTATTGTCTGGCTGAAAAACTGCACAGTTTATTTTCTGGCTGAATAACTGCACTGTTTATTGTCTGGCTGAAAAACTGCACAGTTTATTGTCTGGCTGAATAACTGCACTGTTTATTGTCTTGCCGAATAACTGCACTGTTTATTGTCTGGCTGAATAACTGCAGGATGTATTGTCTGGCTGAATAACTGCAGGATGTATTGTCTGGCTGAAAAATTGCACAGATTATTGTCTGGCTGAATAACTGCACAGTTTATTGTCTTGCCGAAAAACTGCACAGTTTAATGTCTGGCTGAAAAACTGCACAGTTTATTGTCTGGCTAAATAAC